GGAGGCCGGACTGCTCGTCGAGGGCTGCCTCTCGACTTTACTCCCGCGTCACAACGAAGCACGAGAGCGTGCTCGACAGAGCGACAGCGCAGCGCACTGCCGTCCAGTCGGCGAAGGGACGGCTGCTGCGCAAAGTGATCAGTTCTAATGAATGTACCGGGGCCCGACGGATAGATGAATCCGGGGCACCCTCCGCTCGAATCCCTGGCTAGGGGTTCGAGGTGGCCCCCACCCTGGGGCCTCCCATCAAAGGGACTGCGGCAGAAGACGCCCAATCTTGCACAAGTGCAAGAAGCATACGTGCAGCAGGACTGTTTTCCAGAAGCCCCCCCCCCCCCCAACAAACACACACACACACACACACACACACACACACACACACACACACACACACACACACACACACACACACACACACACACACACACACACACACACACACACACCACCACCACCACCACCACCACCACCACCACCACCAACCACCACCACCACCACCGGGCGTCTTTGTCGCTGCGGCGGCGGCTTGTCGAGTGACCTTTGTTTGGAGCGCAAGGCTGCACGTAGAGCTGCTGCTCCATACAGGTCCTAACAGCAAGAGGCCACCTCCTCCAGCACGCAGGAAGGGCACCAGCCAGCCACGAGAGCACTTGGAGCACTTGGAGTGCAGTCGGCAGCCTCACATCCAGGGCCGGGGAGCTCTGGAGCACTTGGAGCACTTGGAGTGCAGTCAGTAGCCGCACATCCAGGGCCGGGGAGCTCAGAAGCGCACCCAGCGGGCCGGATGATTGGGATCGGGTTGCGGGCAAGAGAGCCCTAGCCCCGGGGGTGCGCGTTCGCAGGGCAAGGGCCTTAAAGTAAACACGGGTCTCCGAGGGTTAGCTCCGCGCTCCAGGTTTCCCCTAGCAGCAGAACGCCCCCTCTACTCGGAGCTAGTAAACACTCGACACGGACTCGACACGGCCTCGACGCCCGCCCACACCCGGCGCCTCACCACTCCGGGCCCCTCTTCGTGGTCTCCCAACTTTCACATCGGGACGTCTTCCCCCCCCTCTCGGTCCTTCCTTCTGGTCGCATCCCGATAGTTGTGTGACGGGCGCGGGGCCCGACCTCCCCTCCTAGCCTTTTTCAGCCGCGGCTCCGCCCCCGTCTCGTCTCCTCTGTCCGATTCTGTCGTCATCATCGACGGTGATCCCATGCCCAACTCCTCGGGCGAGGGCGGCGGCACTGGATCGGCACGCCATTCCTCCCCGAGAAGCGGGGCCAGCTCCCTCCGGTCGAGGACTCGCGCCCGCCCCCGCGGTCTCTCTATCGTCCTCGGCTCGTCCGTACGTCCCGACTCCACTCGCAGAGGCCGCGTCAGCTCCTCTCTCTCCTCCCCCGACAACTGGCCCCAAGCCCCCCCCGGGGCCCTCCGGCCTCGGCTTTCCGGTTCGCCGGCGGGTCCGCTCTCGTACCGCGGTAATTCCCCTCCCCCATCTCCTCCTCCCGGGTACACCAGCCTCCGGCGGGGCGGTCCCGGGTCCCCCAGGTTATTCCGAGCGGGTCCATACGGTGGCGGCCCCGTCGGCGGCGGGGGTGGAGGCGGTGGCAGGGGCGGCGGGTACGGTGGCGGCCCTCGCGGCCCAAACGCCTGGTGCGGAGCCGCTGGGGCGGCCCCACGGCCCTGCAACCGTTCCAGTGGCGGGGGCGGAAGTGGCAGTGCGGGTGGCGGGAACGATGGCGGCACTGGCGGCCGCACCGCCTGGTGTGGACCCTCAGGGGCGGCTCCTCGACCCAGCGGTCGCTCCAGCGGCGGGGGCGGAGGCGGTGGTGGTGGGGGCGGGCCTGATGGCGGTGCCGGCCGCCGCAACTCCTGGGGTGGGGCCCCGGGGGATGCCCCCTGCCCCTGCGGCCGTTCCAGCCGTGGTTCCACGCGTCGGCCGTCCACCCCGCTCGTGGGGGGGGGCCTAGCTCTCGTCTCCCCTCGGGAGGGGGGGGGGGCAGGGCCCGGATTCGCCGACGGCCCCGCTTCTCCCCCCTCCCGCTCCGCATCAGGCCGTAAATTGCCCAGTAGTCGCGTCGCCTCCCCCCTCGCCCGGTCCTTCTCGATTCCGTCCCGCACCGCCCGGATATCAAAGGCCGAGTTGTGTTCAAACAACGGGCCCGCCGATGCCACCCGCCTCTTCACACAAAAGGGGTACGCCTTTAGCGCCTGCCCCCCCGACTGTGTCGGCCCCGGTGCGATTTCGTTGACTAGGTAATCCTCCCCTTCCCACCGGAAAACCTGCCCAAGGGAGGTCCATTCGAGCCAACCACGTTGTTTAACCAGGCTCCCGCACCCTCTCGTGGCCTGTACTGACCCTAAACACGCCAGGGGTTGGCCCCCGAAAGAACTAAACCAATTCTCCCTAAGTTTCCCCAGGAATCGCCTTTTTCCCCCGGGCACACGGGGCCTTTTTGGC